TATCAAAGGATTCTGTTTTTGAGGAGCTGATCCCATGGGAAACAAAACCTGTGTTTTCCCATTTCTGTACCGTTCACCCACTCTTAGAGATGGGACTCACCACATCACCCCAGCTGAAAGCCGAAAGGCAATGGCTCTCTGGTAGCTCAGAAGCTAACGCTCTTGCGCAACCCTTCACAACCACAGAGGTTGCTTTTCTCTCTGTTCATAGCCTGCCAAATAGCAACCAGAAGTCTGCTGGGCGACAAGAAGAAAGGAACATGGATCTACTCAATCCTGCCAGGGAAAGCATCTCAAGGGCTGCTGATTTCAGCAGGAGTGACTGAGGGCACTTCCGAATCAGGGTTTTGTGCCATTCCCTCAGTGGCACTGAACTCCCAAGTCCCAAATTTAGCATCCCCAAAGGGCAGCCAACATTATTTTCTTCTGAATAAAAACTCAACTTGCAAATACCCACAATGGAGAAATGGTTGGTGAAGATGATGGAACTAGCAGAGATAGCAAAATTAACTTGTTTGCTTAGAAAATGATCGATTACTACATATATTAGTGACTGGAAACCCCTTATGGACTTTTTGCTGAAAAAACAAAAGCACGAGCTGATGATTTATGGATCTGATGATTAGAAAGGGTAGATTATGGAAAGAAGGAAACTTTGATGTAACCTTAGAGAGGGTAAAATATAAATGTACTGTACTTATAAATGCTGTAAAGAAAACCAGAAGCCACTTCTTTGTTATACTTTCTTTTTTTCTTTTTCCTTCTTTTGTATTTCTTTTTCTTGATTTCTTTTTGACTTTTCTATTACTTTTCTCTATTTCTCTTATCTTTAATTTATAACTTACATTGTTTTTACTCTGTGGAAAAACGTATTTATACAGAGAAAGAGGGAGGGAGGGAGGGAGGGAGGGAGGGAGATCGAGCACAGCTGGATAGCGTAGTGGTTAGAACACTGCCTTTGATGCAGGAGACTGGGGTTCAAATCCCAGCTGGTACCCACCTTACCAGTAAGGGTCCTTGGGCAAAGACCCCTTAACGCTTCATCTGCCTACCACAAATATGAGAGTGACATGAACTAAGAGAAGCATGCTGGCTCAGACATCACCCAGATTAACAAGGTCCATGTCAGATGTTGGGGAACCAGGACAATTTGATGATAAGTGGGCTACTGGAACAAACCATACATGGACGAGGCAATAGAACTTGGAATTGATGGAATGTTGCTACAACAGCAGACCTAATGAGGGGGGAAATGTGGAAAGTAGAGGCCAAAGTGGTCCCTCCCAAGTGGTAGGAGCACTCGGGGCTGTGACTCCTAAGCTGGGAGAGTGGCTCCAACAGATCCCAG